CCGCCGCCACCGCCACCGCCACCGTCCACCGCCACTGCTACTGAAGCTGCTACTGCTACTGCTACTATTATCATTATTACTACTCCTACTCCTCCTCATGCTGTTGCTGCTGCTGCTGCTTCTTCTGCTTCATCTACTGCTGCTATGCTTGCCGTTGCTGCCGCTGCTGCTGTCTCTTACAGCCGCAGCTGCAAAGCGAGAGGTTCGCCTGCTTGGCTTCGGAGACGCAAAGAAGGAGGCGAAGGTTACGGAGCTGGCGGCCAGCTACCTGAAGGCAATGCCGTTTAGGTATATATTGGGGCTATATTGGGATAATGGAAAAGAAAGCGGAAACGACTATAATATGTTGGGGTTATATGGGTTATATGGGGATAGTGGGAAAGCAAATGGAAACTGCTATAGTGGGGTTATTTAGTGTTCAGGGCTTATGGGGGAAATTGAGAAGTTAGGGAGCATGAGGATAAGGAATATGAATGTATGACGAGAGCAAATAGTGCAGAACCCAAAGATAAGGCAGCGTCCATGTTCTTTTCCTTTGCCGCATTCCCTGCGCAGTAAAGGAATGTGTTACCGAACATCACGGAGTTTTTGCAGGAACATTATACTGAGAGTGTTGACTTTTTGCCTGTGACCCCTTCCCAGAGGCACTAAAGGTCCATGAGGGGTGGGCCGCTGTCAGCTGTTCGTGATGGCACTGATTTTGATTGTTTGCTTACGTAGCCCTGAAGAAGGTGCTTCGTGTCTGGAGGGTTCACCGATCCAGCACTTTTGGCGATTTATGACCTCTTTTTCCTTCAGATAATCATACGCAGGTGTTGGTTGAGAAGAGTTCTCAAGGTTTTCTGAAGGTCTCCTTCCTTGATCGGAACCCGGAACAGGAAGAGCTTTCCGCTGTAGACTGCGGCTCGAACGGCATAGTTTCAACGGCTTTGCCCAGCCCCAGCGATTTCTGGCCATGGCACAGAGGACCGGCATTGTTGCTCAGGCAAAAATCAGTCTGGCATATAACCCCTTTATAACCACAGCTTCCATTTAATTTTCCATTTTCTTTTCCATTTGATTCTCCATTTTTGGGTACCATAGTATCCCGAAATAACCCTAAACCCCTAAACCCTAAACCCCAAAGGGAGGAGGAGCAGGATTCAGAGCAGGAGCAGTGAAGTCGCAGGGATAGCAGTGCAGGAGGGGACAGGAGGTAGCGGACGTGGCGAACAGGAGCAAAAAAGAGTAGGGTTCCATCAGGAAAGCAGCATGGATGAGACGATATGGGGTTGGGATTCCCTCATGTTCGTTGAGCAACCTGCCTTGACGGGTGCCTTGTGAGGCTGCGCAGAAATTGCCGCACGGATTTTCTGCTAAGGGACTTCCCACAAGCAGCTTGACCTGCTGCTTTGCCAAGGAGGAACCCAGCGTTACGGGAAGCAATCAACCAAGCCCACGGTTCCGAGAACAAGAAAAGGGAACAACAGAAGAGACATAGGGAAGACACAAGCTCAAAGATGACAAGAGATGATAAGAGAGAGGATCAGCAGGAAATGGCCACGTTGTGCAGGCATCACTTGAAATGTCTTCTGGCTGACGGCTGAGAGAAAGACGTGCTTGCCTTTGCTGCCAGGACGGCCTTGGATGAGGTGGACGTCAAGGGTAGTTTCAAGAGGACGGCCTGCAGTTTGTAAAGCTTGTGAGCTAGGACGTGGGAAATAGCCCATGGCCAGCGTATAGATGGGGTATATTGGGGTTATATTGGGACAATGGAAAATAAAATGAAAACTACTATTTAGGGTTTCGGGTTTAGGGTTGGGCATGAAGCGTTCTTCCTAATGAGCCCTCAAACAGAAGTGAAGGACGGACGCCACCTATCGCAACAACATTGAGGAGGGTGGTCGGTTTGAACCCGCTTGGGGCCGATACCATCTCTATGCAACTTGCTGGCGGTCAGAGTTTTTCTTACTGGTTGTTACAGTAGTAGGGAAAACTGAGTATGATATATATATATAGGCAGGGATTACATTGTCTTATTCCCTACTGGCCCTAAACCCTTAAACCCTAAACCCTGGAACTAAACCCTGAACCTAAACCCCAAACCCTAAACTCCAAACCCTAAAGTCGTTTTGTGCAGTAGCTAAACACTTAGTGTACAACAGGGTTTTCACACGACGGGCTGTCAAAATGATAGTCGATTTCTATGGTACCCTAAGAAGTCAGTGCCGTAGTGTCACTGCGAAGCACAGAGAGACCATAGTTTCGGCAACCCCCCACATGATTTCTCAAAGGTTGAAGCCATGGGCCCCTTGTATGGGCCCTTAACCCATACCCTACATGCCTTAGGGGTCCCTGCAATCACCCTAACAAGGGGCCCCTAATTTTGACCTAAACCCTCAACCCTAAACCCTAAACCCTATCTCTACTTAGGTTGCGCTTGCTTGCCCATGGGCAGACGGTGCTCTAGCGGCCCTGTACCTCAAGGGCCTGGAGCATGTGATCAGTCACAGTGTCTGGGTTTACGATTCTTGGGGTTTCGGGTTTAGGGGGGCTTGGGTTTAGGATTGAATTTCTGTGTATGCATACCTGAGCCTGAGCCCACTCTAGATGAAGTGGTTTGAATCGCACTTCAAAAACATTCAATTTGGGGTCATGCCCCCACCCAGTAACTGTTGGACATTTTTGTGTTGAAGTTTACATCTGCGTTAACTATTTCCCCCTACTATAGACTCTTACTAGGTGGGTGCAGCACCCAACCTAAACCCTGAACCCTAAACCCATTATGGTAGTTTCCATTTTCCGTTCTCCCTATATTTAACTCATCTAACCTTAAACCGTAAATAGTTTCCATTTGCTTTTCCATTCTCCGTAAATTTAACACCTATGTAAGTTTTATGTAACCCCTGTATAACTCCTGGACACGCAAATTATGTAATAATCCATGTATTTGCAGTAACCCCCATATGACCCGAATTCAAGGTGTGGTCCACCCAACGTGGCAGAGAACTCGGCCCGAAAACCCTAGCGACCTACACTGCGCCTCTGTTGGCTTAGGGTTTGAGGTTTATAGTTGTTTAGGGTTTTAGGGTTTAGGGACTTCGGGTTCAAGGATTCAGGGTTCTAGGGTTTAGGGATTTAGGGTTTAAAGATTCAGAGTTTAGGGATTTCGGGTTAAGGGTTAAGGTTTAGGGGTTTCAGGGTTTAGGGTTCATTGTGGGGCTTCCAAAGCTCGGCGGGCCCTTCCTGGGGGCATTATCGTATGTTAGGGTCTGATTCTCTTGGGGCCCCCTACTTGTGGAAACACCATACCATGAACCCGAATGAGGGGGGGAGCGCCTCTTTTTAATACCTTGACAACCCCTAAAAAGGACCTCATACCTCCTTAACATCCCCATTTAAACTTAGGATCCCTAGAAGCCCCCTATTCTGCGAAATTCCCGTACAGAAAATTAAAGCAACACCACAAAAAACTATGTAATTCTTTCGTTAACTCTGTACTTGCTAGCTTCCATGTCGCTTTCCATGTTCTTGTCAATTTGAGTTTCTATATCATTGAGGAAATAGCAGCTCTCTAGGACCCCTATGCATGCCAGTTTCCATTTCGTTTTCCATTTTCTTTTCCGTTTGATTCTCCATTATGCTGAACGGTATACATCCTGAAAGGAACCCCTACACATCCCAGGCCAATCTCATGTTTTGTTTTCTTTACCATTTGCTTCTCCGTTGTTCTACTTTGACCCTACATATGGGGAAAACCCTCCATATATTGTGTGCAGTAACCCTATATCATATACCTCTACACACCCGTATAGAACCTTATATGTCCCTATATACCCCCTTATAATCCTGCATGAAACCTTATCTACCTGTGTAAAGGAACATGACCCAGGCGGGTGGGCATTCAGGAACCCTGGGGACCAGCCACTCTCGAACTCTTTGGGGTTCGGCAGCTTTGACTGCGACGATGCCCTCATTCCAGACATCGTAAACAACTGCAGGTTTGTGAGAGACCTCTACGAGATTCTGGGCTGAGCTTCTTGAAGTTTTTGGTCCCTATGCTTGTGGGACTTCTTTCCTGTTCTGTATGGGGCCTGACCTTCAAAAACCTAGGGTCTCAAAAATGCAGCCTAGGAAAGCGAATGATAAGGCCGGCAAGTACAGCACGCCTGTGCTGTGGGACAAGAAGGAAGGCACCATTGTAAACAATGAGTCCATGGACATCTTGAAGATGTTCAATTCAAAATTCAACAAGTTTCTGGGCCACTGCTGAAAAACGTTTTCTTTGTATGTGTGCCAAGATGGAATGCTAAGCGATCCTTTTTGGGATGGGCTTTCGTAGTCCAATCCTGTAAATCATAATCCGCAATTCATGTTCGCAGGGAAAGGCGGCTTCCATTGGTCGGGCAAAGGGATTGCACATCTACCTCGCATGGCTCCTGCCAGACCCGTGTAGTGTACCCCCTCACATACTCCCCTAAAACGCTACATTTTTGATTTTGGGGACATTCAAACACGGGACCCCTGACTTTTGGAAACAGTTATGTAAACCTTGGGTAGAATTCCCTGACGCAGGTTTGCCAAGCACCCAGAACTGGACCTCTTTCCAGAGCACCTCAAATCAGAGGCTGAGGCGGCAAATGCATGGATCTACCCGACTCTAGAACCGCCTTAAGAGTTCCTTTTCACAGGTTCGGCTCTAACCTAGAAGGTTTTGTGATCAATTCCCGTACAATCTTTTGTGTTACGCTGAGGGCTTCAAGTTCTCAGGCCTAGGCATAGTTTGTTTTGTTTTCACAGTCGTTTAGACGATGGTGGGACTTGGCTTCCTTTGTGGAGGATGCTTCTGTCAGGACCTTCCAAAGGTTGGGCATCTTTCGCAGAGACTCTGAAGGGATTCTTGCTGTTGTTTTGAAGCGTGGCAGCTAATGTGAGGAATCATCATGCTGGAAACCCTTTGGGCCCTAAACTCTGAATCCTAAGCATTTCCATCCCGGCTCCCCAAAGTATGCCCCACCTACGCCCCACCTGCAGCTAGAGATGCCTGTGGAAGCGAACTGATTGCAAGACAAGATTTCTATTGTCGGGCCCCTATCCCCAATATGACCCTATGTAACCCATTATCGTAGTTTCCATTTTACTTTCCATTATGCCAATATGTCCCCCAATGTCGGGCCCCAGGCCTAGCCGTCGAATGAACCAGCGGGCTGTTAGGGTGGGTGTGGGCCGCGTGCGCGGTACTAAGGGCCTCAATCGCTTCTCCCTGCCCCTGCTAGGGCGACAGTTCCCCGCTTTCCTTGTTTGCTGAACAGCTACTTAGCTTGCTGTCTGTGCATCCGGCGCACACCGGGCATACGGCATTTTTGTTGATGTTGAGATTTTTGTGAGTCCTCGTGTTTGGCCTCGGCGCCGGAGTGTTGTGCTCCCACCGCGCTTGGCACGTGAGTTTCGGGTGGGGCGCATGCTGGCCCTTGGCGCTGCAGTGCTACTTCCAGTGCACAGGGCTTAGCACCCCCAGGTGTGTGATGCGCAAAGGACGTTTAGTCCCTGCTAATTGGCAATTGGTACGCCATGTGCATGCAGGTAATCCGATTCCTACTCAAGGGACCCACTAGAGACTAAGCAAGCTGTATGCGTGTGAAAGTAAGCTTCTCGGCTTGCAGGGTGGAGTAGTATCCGGCTGTCCAAGCAAACCCATTCGATTGAGCTTCCGCATTCAAGTCAAACAGGGCGTGAAACGGGCAACATGTTTTTGCGGGCGACCAGCCCTGACAAACCTGCAACTGTTCTGGGAAAGGTTGAGAGTCTGAGTCGGAACCTTGTTCACCCGTAAAGAGGGGCAGTCATGGGTTTGGATGGTTTGTAGTTTCTGGGCCAAGGCGTTCTTGGGCTCTATGTGTGTGGAGCATTCCGCATCCCTGTTGGTTGTTATTTGCCTCTCAGTGTGTAGATTGCTTCGGGCAATTGATGTGGCATTCGGATCCCTTGCACTTGGCCTGTTGATCTAGTGCATTGGTTCTGCTTGCTACATTGGTTGTGGTTGTTGTTTTGCCCTCTGTGCTTGGAGTGTTGCGCTCCCGCTGCACTTGACACTGGTTGTGCTTGCTATGCATGACGTCTGTTCGTTGAGGTTTGACTCCTTGCGGGCCATACATGGTAGTCTTAGATAATGCTGCTGCAACGGTGCTTAGCAAGCCCCAGGAACATCAACAACGGTGTCTACAGATGCGGCTTTGCCAAAAGCCAGGAGGCATACGATGTAGCCGTGAAGGCTTCTTTGGCCAATTTGGAAGCCAATTTGGAAGTCGTTCAGTCTTGTGCTTACAACAAGAGTGTTCGGGTCCATGCTGCAGTAAGTTTTATGAGCCGGAGATGTTCGAAGATCCTGATGGGATTCTGCATAGCATGATGCATTCCAACTGGTGATGAAAGGATTGTACTGGTGTTCTTGACCAAAGACTTACTGTTCAACAGTTGGTGCTACTGGTACGCAGGACTTATGGAACGGAATGTTGAAGTAGACTTTCCAAAGGCTATGTTCATTTTTATTTGCAGGGTAGAAGGTACCGTTTGCTCGTGAAGCTCTACCAGAGGCAACATAGGAATCGAGTGGGTCGGCTATGGCATTCCCAGAGGTTGCGGCGCATGTTCTGTGCCATAAGCCCAAGTCAAGTGTCTATGACTTCAGAAAAGACAAGAGATCACTATGCCTTAAGTACTAATTAGGGCTGCGGAGTATTGAGCCCCTCCACTCGCCCCCAACCCCCCAACAACCCGGGGTCGCTAAATGGCACAGACTTGCCCCATGCATTATTGGGTAGTTCTTTGGATGGACATGAGTCATGGTCTAAACTCCTTAATTGGGCTTGTATGGAGCACTGCAGGGCTTACTAAGGGGTATACTAGAAGTTTAGAGCTCAGACCCTGTAAACCCTAAACCCTAGGGTTATCAAGGGGATACTGGGAGTTTAGACTATAGCCTGTATGCCGGATTCCAGCTCACGGTCTACTACTTGTCAGGCTGGATTTCCTGGCCACCGGTCAGGGGTTTAGGGTGTCCAGCAGCTGTTGAAATCCAAATTTTTGCTTTGGGGGGATTTTAAGTGGGATGGGCTTAGATAGCAATAGACCTTCTTAGGTAATGTTACATGTTAGCTCTGTTGTGTAAAAAACACTTGACAGAGCGAAGGTCGAAAAGAATCTTAAAAGGCCACGGAATAATCTGTTCTTATAATCTTTTCAGGACCTGAGACGAAGCCAATTCTGGACAGTGTTCTAATTAACCCACCATTCTGGGTGAGGTCAGATAAAATCCGGAAGAATCCCCACTATGGCCCTAAGTAAGACTGCCTGAATTAATTAGGCATGGTTGCCAGAAAGGCCGCAGTTGGTATTGGTGATTAATGCTCTCCCCCTAGATTTATATAGGGGCTATATAGGGGCTATAATGGAGAATCAAATGGAAAAGAACATGGAACATGAAATATTAAACCGCCCCCACCCGCCCTAATCTTAAATGTTCCCAATAAAGTATAATATACCACATTGCGGAGTATTTAATATTGGGGGTGGGGGGGGGTCAGAATAAGGGAGGGAGAATTAATCAGCGCAGCTGGGTCTAGGCCTGCTGTCTCTG